TTATGATTCTCGGAACAGGTTCAAGCCATTTGAATTTGGCCTAGAAATCATTCTGTCATCCTTGAACCTATTCCCAATTCTTTGAACAGGTTCAAGAGTCCAACATTGGCCTCGAAAAACATTCTACCATTCTTGAACCTGTCCCCAATTCTTTGAACAGGTTCAAGAGTCCTGATAGCCTATGGAAAGTTTAGTTTCCTGTTTCAGATTTCTCTCCTAGTTGGTTTAGAATTGTTCCAAGACCAATGCATGAAATTTATCATATTTTCTGAGGGATTAGGACTTTCAAAACTTTATATAAACCTTGTCATATACATTGGTTTAAAAATGGCTTTAGGGAAAATCAATTCTATATTTTGAGAAAGCCTTTTAGAGAGTGAAAATTTAGAAAATCAAATCTGATTATTCTGAATTTATTTATGAGAGGATACACATATATTCATGAGTTATTTAGTGGTGTGGTTCTTTATCTCATCGGAATTGGAGCTATATTGAAGATTCAGATATTCCTAATGAAGAGCAGGATTTGATTCTTCTACAATTGAGTTCAAATCTTGAAGAAAAGAAGTAAACGCAATCACACTTTGAAAGGGTTGGAGCATTCATGGAGTGCTGTCTGATCTACCTGCTACTCTTTTACAAATATTAAGTGTAAGCCTGAGGTCAAGTTGCTATTGGACAGGGACTCGCAAAGCCAGAGGATTATCAACGGTTGGTGTGGTGTAGAACGATAAGGTGTGAGCCAGAGTCAAAATTCGGTATACTTTGTTTCAAGCATAGTGGATTGGTTTACTTTGAACTGAACAGTCCACGAGGTTTTTCCCATAACAGTTGATGTATTTTATCAACTAGGGTTTCCTCGCTAAAATCCTGGTGCGATCTTTCTAACTTTAACTTGCTTTACTTTACATATATTTGTAATTGTGGATGTTAAAATTGATCATGTAATTTAATCAATCATAAATTGAGCAAGTTGACCTAATAATCAGATTTAGGTCATTTAAGGAGTTAACCATAATTAAAATCAATTGACTGTTTCCGCACCTCGCGTTACACTTATTTTCACAATATATACTAATATACGTATACTAAATAGATTATGAAAGACAATTTTAACATAATCAATAACTATACTACAGTTTTTTTAAGCATTATTGGTAGAAATGATAATTATTTTAAATTAATAATTTACATATTAAAAGCTAAATACCACAAGAATAATATCAAATAAACTAATATAGGAGAATCATCATCATGTTGATCTAAAACTAAACACCACAATTTTGTTTTTATTATAAAATATATTTGTCATTTTCTTTTGATAACTTTAATTGGGTTAAATAGTAGAGGTAGGGTGCAACAAATTGATTTCCAAATTCCAATTGTAGAATATGAAAACAATGGGAAAGGTGGTGGTGGAAGCAGGGACGAAGAGAGTGGGGGCAATGGTGGCCATGGTCCATCGCCCCCCCAAAATTTTGGCAAAATTTTAGTAATAGTCATTTTTCTACATAAAAATGAAATTCCCGGCAAAATTTTAGTAATAGTCATTTTTCTATATAAAAATGAAATTCCCCCCTTTCCCCCACCCCCCCAAATTTTTTTTAGTAATAGTCATTTTTCCATATAAAAATGAAATGCCCCCCCCCCCCCCCCCCCCCAAAATTTTTTTTTAGTAATAGTCATTTTTCTATATAAAAATGAAATTCCCCCCCCCCCCCCCCCCCAAAAAAATATGGTTTGTGAATGAAATTACTTATAACTCTTCAAATTTGAATAATAACCACTATTATGATAATTCTTAGTGTAACATACTTTATTTATACACATACAGTCACACACATATATATATATTATTTGTTATGAAGCAGAGAGAAGAAAAAAAATACTACTGACACTTGAAAACCTCAATTGTTCGTAATTTGTTCTATTTTTCTTTTCATATCATCTATAAACACATGCTCATAACTAAAAAATTAAGTATTTTATTTTATTTTAAAATTTGATTTATATTAATTAATTTGGCCCCCGCAAATATTTTTTTTTGGTTCCGCGCTCGGGTGGAAGAGAATCATATACAGTGGAAGAGAATCTATGATCTTCAAAGACTAGTCGATTTAAGTATGAATGGAAATTAGAATTGAGCACAACTTAGATAGATGTTTTGTAATCTTTAAATTCAAATATTTATCTATATTTTGTTATAAAATATTCAAATGTGAATTAAGTATGAATGGAAATCATAATTGACTCTATGATCTTCAAAGACTCGTCGATTTAAGTATGAATGGATTTGTAATCTTTAAATTGAAATATTTATCTATATTATGTTATAAAATATTCAAATGTGAAATAAATATGAATGGAAATCAAAATTGACTCTATGATCTTCAAAGACTCGTCGATATAAGTATAAATGGAAATCAGAATTGAGCACAACTTAGATAGATAATTTGTAATCTTTAAATTCAAATATTTATCTATATTATATTATAAAATATTCAAATGTAAATTAAGTATGAATGGAAATCATAATTGACTCTATGATCTTCAAAGACTCGTCGATTTAAGTATTAATGGAAATCAAAATTGAGCACAACTTGGATAGATATTTTGTAATCTTTAAATTCAAATATTTATCTATATTATGTTATAAAATATTCAAATGTGAAATAAGTACGAATGAAAATCATAATTGACTCTATGATCTTCATAGACTCGTCAATTTAAGTATAAATGGAAATCAGAATTGAGCACAACTTAGATAGATATTTTGTAATATTTAAATTCAAATATTTATCTATATTATGTTATAAAATATTCAAATGTGAATTACAAAATTTATATTCAAAGAACAACTACTAATTATTAAATAAGCTATTAATTATTAAATTTCTTTAAGAAATAATTTAGTTTAAATGTTAAACCTAAATAGATGAAGTACAAGATAATACCGTCTGATGCTGTGTAGACTATAGTGTATCTAAATAAATATATTAAGTGTATCATTTTGATGCAATATAACACGTGAGCCTCTCAATACGGTTATTTTGGTCATTACAATTAACATTTTTCTAAAAGTTATCAATTCACATGGCTAGTAATTAATGAACTATGTAACTAGTTTACCTTAATTAAAAAGAGAATTCATTGGAAGAACACCTGACCACATTAATACTGTCCCGCGTGTCCCTTTCAACATCAACCACAAGGTTAAAATAAAAAAAAGGAATAAAAAAATAAAAAAGGTAGTGCGAAAATGACCATCGCATCCTAGGCTAAACCCTAAGTATAAATAAGATCATATGGTCCAAGTGCCTCCTGTCTTTCATTTCCAAACACATTGAATTCGTGAATCGTCATTCTCTCCTTAATTTCCAAACACACTAAATCGTCTGCTGTCCTCGCCGTCGTTTGGCCTCGCCGTCTGCTGGCCTCACAGTCGTCTGGCCTTGTTTTTCTATGTCATCGCCGTCTACTGTCCTTGCCATTCTCTATCATCGTCCGTCCTCTCCGTTCTCTGTCATCGTCTATCCTCTCCGTTTGTTATCCTCGCCAACGTCTGGCCTCGCCGTTTGCTATCCTCGCCGTTCTCTGTCATCGCTCGTCCTCTCTGTCTGCTGTTCTCGCCAGGTTTTTTATAATTACAATGATGGTATCTAAAAGTTTTTAGCATTGATTTATTATAATTACAATGATGGAGCATGAAATCATTGATTTTTTATAATTAGGTATCTGAAAGTTTTTAGCATTGATTTGTTTACCTTTCACAATTATATTTTTGGAATATTAATTAATTTTGAGAAGTAAATTTTTTTTAAAAAAAATTTAACGATCCGAGCCCAAGCTTTTAAAATTAAGACGAGCCTGAGCCCAAGCTCAATTTTTTGAGCTCGTCACGAGCCGAGCCTGAGCCCGAATAGACCCCGTAAACAAACGAGCCGAGCCCGAGCAGACCCAAGCTCAGCTCGGCTCGGTTCATTTGCAACCCTAGTACAGAGCATTGATATTTCGGAACTCACTTCTGTATCATGCAATCTAAATGGATTGCAGTCTTACAGAAAATCCCATGGGCCTACATCAAAATGCCCACAAGCCCAAAGGCAAAGATAAAACGTTAAAGCCCATAAAACACAGTCTTCAGGCCCAACCTCAAACTAACTACAAGCAAGAAGGGGACTCCTTTTAAGGGGATCAAAGAAGGATCAAGAAAGGCTCCAAGAGGCAACGATGGCTTTAGCAAGATGATGATCTTGTCAATGACGATGTTAAGAGTGGTCAAATGTGATGCACAAAGCAGGCCAAGGTATTCATTGATGCTTTCTTCCTTATAGTTTAAAATTTAATTTCAATTCCATGGAATTCAGCATAGATGGTTTGTGTGTGTGTTCTCTATATGTAATTTATTTTATGCAATGGTAGCCGCTTTCTTGACTTGGCAATATCTTAACTTTTCTTTCGAAGAACATGCCTTTCAAATTCTTGAATTTATGCCAATTGCTGGAATATGAAGGTTTTGGTCTCTATCACAACATGTCCAAATTCAATGAATTGGTGTAATTAGCATCGAACAGACTGTAAACTTCATTGAAAACATTTAACTCAATAAGTATATTCTCTAACACAAGAAGAATCCAGAAAGGAATTATATCATAAACAATTCCATTCCCATTATTCCAGCTAGTAACTTCAAAACCACAAGCCATGGTTTAATCTACCATTAAACTTGACTTCACAATTCATAATGATTTGTTCTATAAACGAGACAATCCACTATGTTAATATTTAGTAGACTACAATTTATGACAACTATTGTATATAAACAAATGTAAGCCGGCTTTATTTGTTTTTTTCATCAATCTACGTTTATACATATCACATCTAATTCCAAATGTGGCTCTTTTATGTGTCTCTGTCTTTTTATTTCACATCATCCTCTCTACTCTCTTCCTATAAAAGAGTGAACCAGTTACATTCAACCACAAACAAAACTAGGCATGATGACATTTGGAAGGTGTTATATTTTTCTTATTCCTATCATCTTTCTTTCTTTGTTTCCATTAAAGATCACATCATTGTCATCAAAAACAGAAACAGAAGCGGAAGCTCTTCTCAAATGGAAGAACAGCTTATCGTCTTCTTCCCTCGATTCATGGTCAGTTGCCAATCTCAAAAACCTTTGCAACTGGACTGGTGTCGTTTGTAGCAGTACTACTGGAGCTGTCTCCAAGATTAGTCTCTCCAATGCTAATATCAATGGAACACTTAACCGATTCGGTTTCACCTATTTTCCGAATCTCCAGCATTTCGACCTCAACTCCAACAGCATGAGTGGGCCAATTCCATCTGCCATTGGTAATCTCTCCCAACTCACTTCCTTGGACTTGAGCAACAACTTCTTCTATGACGTCATACCTCCAGAGATTGGATTGTTGACGAAGCTCCGATACCTGTATCTTGGGAACAACAGTCTAAACGGTACCATTCCATATCAGGTTAGCTCTCTTCAAAATGCACATCATTTAAACCTTGGAACTAACTTATTACAAACTCCAGACTGGTCAAAGTTCTCGGCTATGCCATCATTGACATACCTTACCTTTTCTTCCAATCGACTTACCTTGGAATTCCCAGATTTCATATCCAAATGCAGGAATCTGACAAAGCTCAATTTGCAAGAAAATAATTTCACTGGGAAAATACCTCAATGGTTGTTCATCAATTTAAGCAAGCTTGAATGTCTTGATCTTGGCCAAAATTCTTTTCAGGGGCCATTATCATTGAATTTTTCGAAGCTTTCCAAGCTAAAGTATCTTTTACTAGAGAACAACAGTTTCACAGGCCCAATTCCTTCTAAGCTTGGAAACTTGAAACACTTGTTGAGGCTGTACATTTCCAAAAACCAGCTCACGGGTCCAATTCCTCCAACAATTGGGAATTTGAGATTGCTGCTTCATCTTGATCTCAGTTCTAACCAATTGAATGGAGAGTTGCCTGATACCATGTCTAGCCTAAATAATCTTGAACTGGTCAATCTAAGTGGCAACCAGATCTCAGGTCAACTTTCACCAAAGTGGGGAGAATGGGTAAACCTTAAAATTTTAATACTGAATCGAAATAAAATTTCGGGTGAAATCCCAGCTAAGCTAGGACGCCTAACTCAATTGAACATTCTAAGCCTGGCCTCGAATGAACTAAATGGAGAAATACCGTCTACCATTTGCAACTTGAGTTCTCTTAAACTTCTTGATTTGTCTAATAACAGCTTGAGCAATGTGATTCCACAATGTTTAGCAAACTTCAGCAGTAAACTCATAGAGCTAGATTTGCGAATGAATCACTTTCATGGATCTATTCCAGCAAATTACACGAAGTGCAACAATTTGAGGAATCTCGGCTTGAATGGTAATCAATTGGAAGGGTTTGTTCCACAAACTTTGGCAAACTGTAGAAAGTTGGAAGTTGTAGATCTTGGAAACAAGAAGTTAAGCGACACATTCCCCCATTGGATGGAAAATCTTCCAGAGCTGCGTGTTCTTGTCTTGAGATCTAATAGATTTCGAGGCACAATAAGCACTACTTCCAAGAGTGATCAACCCTTCCCTAAGTTGCGAATCATTGACTTCTCGCACAATGAGTTCAACGGCTCGTTACCAACAGAATATTTTGAAAATTTTGAAGCAATGATGAATGTGGATGATGGTCAAACTGGTTTGACATACTTGGGGGACTCGTATTATGGAGCTTCTGTGACGTTGGTGGTGAAAGGAAATGAGATTGAACTAGTGAGAATCTTACAAGTCTTCACAACCATTGATTTATCGAACAACAAGTTCCAAGGAGAGATTCCAAATTCCATTGGAAAGCTTAATTCTCTCCGGCTGTTCAACTTATCCCATAATAGCTTTTCGGGTCATATTCCATCGTTGCTGTCAAATTTGGTTGTGCTTGAGTCGTTAGACCTCTCTTCGAACCAACTGGTGGGGGAAATACCTTGGCAACTGTCAAGCCTAACATTTCTTTTGGTCTTGAACCTTTCTCAGAATCATCTTGTCGGATTGATACCTCAAGGCCGACAATTTGATACATTTGAAAATAATTCATATTATGGTAACCAGGCGTTATGTGGAGTACCATTGACAAGGAAGTGTACAGATGATGAGACAACAACACGGCTGCATGAAGAAGGTAATTCAATTTTTGCAAGTGGATTTACTTGGAAAGTTGTCCTAATAGGACATGGTTGTGGATTTTTATTTGGGTTGATTATGGGTTGTCTAGCCTTCTTGACTGGAAAACCACTATGGTTTGTAAACGTTGTGGAAGGCGATCAACATAAAAAGAGGAAAAGACAGAGGAAGAATAATTGAGGAAATGCTAGAAAAGGAAATCAGTGAAGGCAAATAGTCAAATTATACCAGTGGTAGATCTAATGCATTTTTTCCGTATTAAGTTGTTATAAATGTGTCACGGTTTAGTTCCTCTTTGTTGCTTTCTCAATTGTCCATAATAGTTTGTATTTTATATTTGCTATTTGAACAACTACCTAGATTTGCTATTTGTTCAATCTCTCTCCCTCTTATTTTATTTTCTTGCTTTTCTCTTTGTTTAATTAATTATCATGTCACTTGTAATCTCTCTCTTTGGACTGGTTCTCTATATGATGGGGTTTGGAAACAGTGAGTGATAAATAGTTACAAGCAATATTTGTAAAACTGATCTTTTAGAACTATGAAGCAGATTCATTGAAATGAAAGAAGATCTGTCTGTTTTTAATTCCTCTCCTTCTTCTTATTCCATCTTGTCTCTTCTTTGATGATTTTGTGCGTGCATGTTCTATATGCAACCGGAGCCCCTTCCTTGACTTAACAATTTATCATGACCGCTTGGCCGGCTAACTTGACTTCAGAATTTTTAATTTATCACAATTCATTGAAAGGAACAAGTGCTGAACTTTGATTTTTCTAAAAAATTTAAGTCATTATCAACTTCCATTCATTTTTTTTTTTTTTTAATTTCATATTTGCAAGAATAACTGACAAGAAAATAATGTGGAAAAGCAAAATTCACTATAAAAAAGGTTACAGAGCATTGATATTTTGGACATGCAATCTAAATGGATTGCAGTCTTTTAGAAAATCTGCAAAATGTTGTAATTGCATAGACAGGATGATCAAATAGTTGAGTGGTCCCGAAATTGTAGACTTTCTCGTGTTTTACCAACCATGGGAAATAATTGGACATGATATATTATGGGTCGCGTGCAGATAACCCAAAAAATTATGTGCCAATTAGTCCCTTTTGCTTGTTTACCGGTACAAGAGTTGTGAATATACTAAAATACCCATCTCTCTCACACTGATCCGTTCTATTCTCCAGCGCCATTCTTAGCCGGAGCTTTCGTTGGTCATCCCTTCCTTGCTCGCCGGAGATTTTTCCAGAGTATCTTCCACCGATTAATCCTTGCTTCCTGTCGTTTCAGTCATCGGGTCATGAACCAGTCTTCGTCGTGAACCACATGCCCCTATCGTCGTGAACCATAATCCCTCACACTAATCTCTGTTAAGAGTTTTTGCGCAGCGAAATGGTTGTGGAATATAATATAGATAGATAACCTAGAGGAGTGGTTAATAGATTCAACTTGTTCTTTTTTCCAATTTTTATTTATTTTAATTTTACTAAAATAAAACTAAATGCAAACCACAAAGCAAAAATAAAGTGTAAGTAAAGTAAATAGAGTTTGAGAGATGACACCAGAATTTTAGCGAGGAAACCCCAATTGGTATAATAGACCAATTGTAACAGGAAAAACCTTGTTGGACTTTGCAGTCTTGAGATAAATGATCCACTATGTTTGAAGCAAAGTATACCGAACTTTGACTTAGTCTCACACTCTATCGTTCTACCAAAAATCAATTGCTGACAATCCTTGGCTTTGTGACTCCCTCGTCCAACAGCTCTCAACCTCAGGCTTACTTTCGATCTCTATAGAAGAGTTGCAAGTAGATCAGACAACATTCCACGAATGTTCTAACCCCTTCAAAGTGTGATTGCTTCACCCATTTTCTTCTAGATTTGAATTTTATGAAGAACGAATGAATTCTGCTTTTTGGAATTTATGAATCTTCAATTGTGCTCCAATTCCGATGAGATAGAGAACAACACTACTAAACCACTCTTGTGTTTATGTATGTGCTCTTAAAAATAAAATCAGAAAAATCAGATTGATTTTCTGAATGAATAAAAATATCTCTCAAAGATGGCTTTCAATTGGATCTAAATTTTGTATTCAGAAGCCGTGAATAAACCTATGTGTATGACAAGGTTTATATAGAGTTCAGAATGTCAAAAATTCGTGCATAGAATTTGAAAGGAAATCTAGTCCAAAAAGGAATCAGAATAAATTAGGAAACTGAAGTTCTAAGGCTGTCGAGACTTCTTGAACCGGTTCAAGAATTTGGGAACCGGTTCAAGATGGCCAGAAGGTATTTCAAAGGCTTCCTTTGACTCTTGAACGGATTCAAGAATTTGGGAACCGGTTCAAGATGGCCAGTCTTGAATTTTTTCAATTCTGCTGATGTTGAACCAATTCAGGAATTTGGGAATCAGTTGAAGATGGACAGAATGTAAAATCTTCCGTAAAAACTTCCAAATTACTCTTCCCAAGTGTTCTCACTTCCTCTCCAAACTTCCTAAAGCATTGTTTTCATCATCCCGGAGTGTAGTATACCATGAACACTTGAACTTCTTCAAATCCGCATCTGATCTTTGATCTTTGAAATTTTGAACCGAAAAATTACAACTCGATCGGACTTGTGCTGACACCGAAATTAGCCAATATATAAAATATATATTTTTCACAATTTTCCCAAGATATATATCTCACAATCTCTCCTTTTGGCAATTTCGTGACAAAACTCTAAAAACATCATGTAATCTACCCAAGCAGAAAAAAACAAATTACAATGATTGTCAAAGAAATAAATCGGAATTTTTCTTGAAACTTATGAAACTTCAACACATGTAGCAACCTGTAATCTGCACATTAGCTCAACAAAACTGCCCATGAAGCTTAATCAAGAAAAATAACCAATTAACATATATCAATATGTGAATATCAATGTATATGTATATGTCTCCCCCTCAATTCTAGAAACTCTCCTTCTCAAATATGCACACTTCTCCCCCTTTTTGTTACCAATTGACAAATAAAGCTCAATAGAGAAGGAAAAGAAATAATGTGGGAGAAGTAACAATAAGAAAGATCAAAACTATCATTCATGCATAAAATATTGCAATAAACACAAAAATATAATGATATATAGTAGCAATGGAACCAAAGACAAGTATCCAAGATAAAACATGTTCCATCCACAAGATATATAAGACCAATCATACTCAAAATCACACACATGATATCTCCATCCAATCAAAAACAAAAATTCCTAATAAAAACTATAAGGAAAATCTTTTTGGATTTTTTTTTATTTGTTTATTTGTTTATTTTTTTATTTTTTATTTTTCTGATATTTGAACAAATATTATGAGAAAACAATTTCCATGAATTTCAAGCGTATATGATAATTTAAGAGAATTTAAGAATACGAAATTTTTAGACACCACAAATTATTCAGTTAATTCAATTCTCAAGCATATAATCACAACATACATGAACTTCAACTTGGAACTTCAACTTGTAATTTTTAAGAAGATTTAGAAAATTGCCTAGCAAGTTCACATGTGTGTGTGTGCAATCCAATCTCATCAAATTTTAATCAAATCACATTGACCTACTATCTAAATCATATTGATCAAAAAGCATCAAGAAAAGATTGTTTTGAGCAAACTTTTTTGAGCAAGGCGCCTTTCACTCTAAAGAGTAAACAGTAATTCTCTATTTCAACTTGTCTCCTTCTTTCTTTTTACTCAATTAGCTCATCTTCAAAGTCTAGTAGGAGCTTTTGAACTAGTCTCAATAGGTAGCCTTTTCTTTAGCAAAGATTTTCAGCATTCTTTTGATTTTTCTTTTCTTTTCATGCTGTTTTTTTTTTTTAAAAAAAAACAATAACCATTATAGCTTTTATGAGCAATATGACCTAGTCAACTTTACAATGATTTCCAATTAAATTTCTCAGAGCTGGACTAGTGCACATGAAAAATATAAACCTCGATCAAGAGACTCATCTCTAAAAACAAAATAAACAAAGCAAATTATCTTTCAACATATAGATTACACATCAAGAATCTTTTTATTAAATAATCATGTGTCCTCAATTTGCATTAAAAAATAATTAATTCAAGAGAAATAATTATCACTCATGCATTGACAAGAAAAATATAATCATCACTTTCTTATGAAAGAAAAATAACCTAAATCCTAAACTATAAGATATGGTCCAATGGAAACAAGATATTCATCAAAGCATAGTTCATGACATAAAAACTTTTTAGGATTTACTCTGGGGGTTTTGCACCCAATGACCTATTGGAAACAAATTCCATAGCATCTATAGGCACATATAACCTCAAATCCTCTCTTCACCTAAATAGCTTTCACCTTCAACTTTTGAAGAGATTTTATAGGAACATCAAGAATATTCTTTTTCTTATTTGAATTCCTTTTAGCACGAAATTTTTTAGGCTTATTCCAATTATTTTGCTTTCTAGCATGAAACCTATTTTGTGCAAATGAATTATACCAATGAAAATCAGAACAAGAATTATCCCTTCTTTTTTTGTAACAATAATGTTGACTATGTCTAGTTCTACCACAATAAAAACAATAAAGCACCTTGGACACATTCTTAGCATGCATAGGATCAACAAAAAGTTTAGGCTTAACAATAGGTACATTCAAGTTTATAGGTTTAACAAAAACAATTTGACCCTCTTTACTAGTTGAAGCCTCATCAAAACCTAATCCAGTTTTATCACCTACATGCTTACCAACATTAATCATCTTATCAAGTTTAACCTGCCCAAAAGTAAATCCAATCAATTTCTCTTGTGACTTTTTCAATTCAATTTCAAGAAATTCCAATTTAAAAACAAGAGATTCTTTTGCAGAATTAACTTGACTTACCTCACCTTCTAGGAATCTTACCATTCCTCGAAGATCTTTAGTCTCCTTCTTTTTCTGTTCACTTTCCTTTTTTAGAGCATCTCTTTGCTTCTCAACTTCTTTCAATTCTCTTCATTGCTTATTGAAGCCTTTCTTCGTTTGAACATATGTAACATACAATTCATTGAAGGCTTTATCGAAATTCTCCTTTGTTGCTTCCTTGTAACAAACTTCATCATTAGGTTTTGCAGTATCCTCAAAATCTGAGTCATCTGTATCAGATAAAGAAAATCTTTTAGAAGTATCATT